GGGCCATGGAGGGGAGGGGGGGGACCCCCCGAGAGAGGGCCCCCGTAGCGAGGAGAGCCACGAAAGCGCTTGCAGCCATGGGCGAGGAGGCAAGGCAGCTTCGACTGCATCCTGAGGGCCGAGGAGGAGACGCAACGCCTGCCTTTCTCAGGCAAGAGAGGAGGGGTATTTTTAGGGCCTAAGATCCGGAAACACTGAGGCCCTGGAAGCAAGGGGGAGAGCTCTAAGCACCCACGAATAGGCCCTGTGTGCTCAGCGCGGGTGGGAGGTATTATTTGTAGGACCTGGTACTTATCTCAGAAGGACAAATTGTCATCAGCTGTCAGGAAATTAGGCATTAGCGCTTCTTCCAAAATAAGAGCTTGCTCTTGTACTGCTAACAAAAGACAAGGCGGAGTGCTCCTCCACATCCATATCAGAAATCAGCGTTTGGCCCCTTTTTCTCAGTGTCTCAGCACCAGGGTCTAGAGGAAAAGAAATTATTTACAGGAGAAAATTTTCTAACACAGCCCTCCCCCAAACTGAAGAAACTGTGGCAGGGTGGTGAGCACAGCCGCGAGCACCACTCCTGGAGCGGGCCTAGCTGCAATAGGAAGTGATATGTGGCCCCAGGCCTACAACCCTGGCCAGGACCCTCTGCCCCAGGCCCTTGTGGGCAAAGCCCCCTTTCTTTTGAGAAGCTTAGCTCCCTCCTAACTGTGCCTTGGCAGAGGCGTTTCCAGCTACGTCCCATTCAGACTGTGCCAGATGGTCAGAAGCTGGTCGCATATCCACATCGAAGCAGCCATTATTGCTACCAGGGTTAGATCTCACTCCTCATGCAAGGGTGTGGGTTGCTCTCCCACCAGCTTCTCCAGTTCTGACAGACAATGTGAGGCAGCACAGTCCAGGTGGCCCAGGCTGTCTCATCTCTCTGCTCCAGCTCCGTTACACCAGGGTGATGCTGAGGCATGGTACACCCAAAGCTCATTCTCCACAAGGAGCAGCTGCCCTCAGCCGCGCAGCTGCAGGGACGCAGACCAACCCTGCTTTGCCGCCCACGGCCACACACCACCTGCATGTCCCACAGGGGATGTCCTCTGCAGCATGCACAGCTCTCGTCATCACACCATACATTTTATCCTGTCATCCTGACCCGGTGTCCCTGAAGATGAATGGACTTCCGCACCCTCGTGTTGGGAGGAGGGAAGGGGTGTGTTTGCTGGATTGTTTGCAGTGATAGCTTTGGCAGAACCAGGTGCTCAGCTCTGCATGCCAGGCCTGAGGCTTTACAAAAGACTGCGGTGCAGGCACAACCCAGCCTCTCTTCCCCTTGCTTAGTCTCTCCACTAGAAGCTTTCTGCCATCTCCCACTACTCTTGCCCTGGATCCTGCAGATAGACAGAGGCAGCAAGTGGAGGAGGGGAACCTACTCCCAACACATACCCAGTACAACAACAGCTCCATGCTCCCACACAGTAGCCCAATTAAGCAGAGTGCCCTCTTGCCTTCCCCATTCCCATCCTCCTTCCTGCCCCCTCCCCGCAGTACCCTGCACACTATCTTGCACAGCTCACCTCCCAGAGCACTGTGCCAAATACTACCCAGATCTGTTATGCTTGATTTTACCCAGAAAGGTAGAGGGCTGACTCCAGGCCCCTGCCACAGGAGATACTTGCAGCAGGTTCCAATGCTGTTATCTGTGCAGGAAAGGTTAGGAAAAAGAGGGTGGGTTATCAGGGTAAGAAGAGGGGTCCCAATCCTAGGGAGCAGAGGGAGGAACTGAGAGTACTATTGTTCACCATTCATGTATGAGTACCCGCCTGGCTCCCAGGCTAAAGTCATGGGCAAGAATGACAAATGCCCCTGCAGAACCAGAGGCACATGCTGGCCCTCAGTAGGAAAGCACTGTGGATTCATTCTTCTTCTCTCCTGCGCTCAGCAGAGCATTTCAACCCTTCTTTCTCCAGCCCTGGCTATTGTCCCCACCTGTGTGTGGAGCTGCCAGAACACTTATTCAGGGCCAGGAGGTGCAAGAGCTTGGGATTTGCATCCAGGCTTTTCAATGAAATGGACTTACAAAGGCCCTCAGCTTTTTGCAGCCTGGCCTGAACCAAGGGGCCATTGCAACATGTCTCAAGACTCTTACTGTAGAGCTGCCTTGTGTTTGAGGGTGGTACCACTCCTAAAATTCCCCCCCCCCCCCCCAAAAACCCCAAAAACCAACAACAACAAAAAAAACCCCACCCAGAACTCCCCAAACTGATCAAACTTTCTGTTTGCATTTCTTGCAGACACAGCCAGGGTTCTGCCATCTAGTCAGATGCCACTGATGCATCCGCTGGGAAGCCTATGACAAGTCAAGCTGTTTTCATTTTTAACAGCTGCAAAGAGATAAGGCAATCTTAAAAACAAGAAACCTTTATCACAACAGCAGCAAACCTCACCTTGGATGAATCAGGGTTAAGCAAGTAATGTTTTCAAGAACCTTTCCATGCCTAGCGTGCTTTTTCATGTCAGCCACTGCAGCACAAGCTGCTCTAGGCTTAGGTTACAGCTCAAGGGACCCAGTGCCTCAGGTAGAAAATTTCTATTTAGTAGAAAAGATATACCCAGTATCTTTAGGAGTCAATGAATGGACATATTATAATCACCCTGACTGCAGCAGAGAAAAACAGACATGAAAATACTGCTGGTAAATGAAAAATAGAACAGCTGTCAGTCAGCACCTGGAAAGAGTTTACAGAGCCAGACAGAGAATTATATACCACAGTAACAGGATTAAGGGGCAGATGAAAGATAGTCGTAGCAGCAAGAGAGAGTGAAAAATGGAAATGACAGGTCACCTTTGCAGATGAAGAAGAAACATGTTGCATCTGTAACTGAGGAGGCTGCAAGGGAGAGCTAGAAGGGGCACAGCAGAGCTCAGATGCATGATTCCCAGAGAATGAAGAAACAGATTCTGCCTAAACCCAAGACGCTGCTTCAGAAAAAAAAAACAAACCCAACTGTTAAAAGAAAACCAGATTGTGCACCCAGGAAGTTTCTCTGCTGCAGAGACACATTTGCTAGTGAAAAAAAAAAAAAAGGGGTTTTCTTTAAACACATCTATACTTTCCTGGCTTCTTGTGGCATATGAGTGTTTGGATTTAGACAGGGGCAGCTTATGATAAAAGGTGATGAGGTCCAGTCCAGTGGCCTAAATTTGAGAAGGGCTCAAACAAAGGATGCAGGAACAGCAAGATACACTTTGCATTAGGAGTGCCTGCCCTTTCCTTCCAGCTCCTAAAGGCATCGAGGAATGGAGAATATACAAGCTGGAGCTCTGAATTTCCACATCACCTAGGAGACAGCACTTGAGGCAGGAAATCCTCACAGCGGCCCAGGAAAGAGAAAGGGAGGGGGGGAGATGGGGAAGATCTTTCAAGGATCCCTCAAAACAATCTGCCTTCCCTTACCTATTTGGTCCTCAGGCAGAACATCCAAAGGACTAGTTAAGACAGTCCTGACAGAAAATATTCAAGCAACAATATAGTATCTTAAGAAGATAGAAGTTCATTCCTACAATGCAATTGTTTCTGGTCTGGAGCAAAAGGTTCTGCAGAGAAAACTCCTCCAAGACAGCCAGATTAACAGCTTAAAAGAAAAACACCCTCTCTGTGTAAAAGAGTACAACTCCCTATAAGCTTTCATCATCTGTTTACCAAGACCTTGCTGTTTACCTTTTGCTGGATATCTGTTATCCCAACCAGTTTAAGATTAGGGTTTGTTGGGTTTTTTTTTTAATATTTTAACTTTGCAACAAACCAAAAATTAACCAAGTTTTAAGGCTTGTGGATTTTATGACTGGAAGTTGTCTATAGCAGTGGGTAGACTGGAAATGAACATCAAAGATTCCAGATATCTTTCTGATCAAGAGCAGCTGTTCTTTGAGGATTTAAAAAAAAAAAAAAAAGCGCCTTGTTCCCTGTTACACAAAAAGTTTGGGTTGTTTGCAAACTGTTTCTTCCGACACTTGAAAGAAAGCTAGTCAGAAAACAAAAGAACATGGCCACCCTTTCCCAATTAAGGAGTGGCCACTCATCAGCTCTAGAACCATGCAATATTCAATTGAGCTGATCAAGTTCAGTTTGGATCTAGTTTTAATAAGCAAAGATACTAAGCTCTGCTGATTTGATCTGGCTTCTCCCTCTGCCCCCCAAACACTCCTGGAGCATGCATCATGCACAGAGATGGTTGTTTCTGTCACATCTTTTAGTCTGGGTACCGCAGGGCTGGTACAAAATAAAAGGGCTGAGCATTCCTAGCATCTTGGGTCATACCTACACCATCTGCTTCTCTTTCACCTCTTTCTTTTTTGGAAGGTCTTTATCTTCCCATTACCTTCAGTCTCTGAACACCATATTAAGACACTATGTTATAAATATTCCACTGGAATAAGCTTACAGCATGAGCAACCTGGCTTTGGGACACAGTTGAGTATCCTCATGCTCTCTCTCACTTACTTGAGAGAAAGAAATGTGACACTTGAATAGAGAAGAGCTGAACACAGGATTAGAGGGGAATGCCTCAGTCATCAAGTCTACCTATCTCCACCCCTGCTCCAAGCAGCTACAGCACCAAGCCCTTCAAAATTTTAAGAGAGTATGAAGAAAGATATTTTTTCCCTCCTGCTATCCCTAGTGAAAGGTTAATCCAGCAGTTACAAATTCAGCATTTAGGAAAGCCTGGTTTCAATTCACTGCTTCACCCCACATCTTCCAAACAACTCTGAGCTATGACAGCCCCAGCACCTCTACAGAGCAAGGGCCTTAGTACCTCCTACTTCACCAAGGTGTTGCAAGTGTCAGATATATTTAAGAGCATGAAGCATTCAGATACTATGGAAACCAGGGCAAGAGAAAAACCAAAAATAGATGGAAGATGCAAGCTGTTGAAAAGTCTGGAAAAGTCTTGCTGAGGAAAGTTGTGCTTGCTGCAGCTGATCCCAGAGTGGGATCCATTTAGAGCTCAAGCATAAAATATCCCCTCTCCACTCTTTCCATAGCTCGCCATTTTTCTCTGCCATGGGGAAAGGAATATTCTTTTTCCTCCTTAGGCCTTTAATTTCCCCTCTATTTAACAGGCCTCCTAATTACCAGTTCCTTTGAATGATTCACATTCTAGCTTGCCCTTCCCATGACCTGGAGTAGACCGCTGCCTGACTGCTTCTGTATAGCAGGATTATTGGGAACATATCATGAGAATAAACGCTACAGAACACTCTCCTTCTGAAAGGGAAATCCAACAGCAACCTACAAAGAAGGGTGCCTGAAACAAAGAGTTGAGGTGCCAGCCTGTGAAACACTATGCCTCTCCTTTTTATAATGCAAACACATTTATTGTGCATATTCACCCTCTACAGACAAACCAGTTGCTAAAGTATAATAATCCCTTTCTTCACTCAAAAAAAAAAAAAAAACCAACAAAACAAAACCACCAAAAAACCCTCACCAACACAGAAAGTAGTTGAAATAGGCAGAATGATGTGGAGGAAACACAGAGGATGCCAACATGAAGTATACAAACCATCTTACTCAACAGTCAACCAAGTGGAGGACAGTAACAGATGTAGAGCAGGTAAAGCGCTCCACAAGTAGACTGAAGCCATCCACCCCTGGAAAGCCAGGTTGGGGTCATTTCCCTCACCAGCACAGACCTCAAGTATGCTTGAGACCAGAGGTGCTGAAGTCTCACTTCACAGCACTGGCACTAGTTCCAGGTGCTCATTACAAGCTACTTCTTGAACACAGAAAGAGTCTCTGGTCTTTTCAGCATGACCACCACCTCAGTAAGGAAACCCCAGCAAGGTGAGGGGAAGGCTCCAGATGAAAATCCTTGGCTTTATAGTTGTTAGGGCATGTAAGGGAATGGAAACAGATTGAATATGTCCAAGATTCTTCATCTCATAATTTCTTTACTGCAGCATCGATCTCAGGAACAATCTCCTTCAGCTGGTTCCACTGCTCTGCAGACAAGGCAATCCCTAGAAACAGCAGAAGGAGAGGCTTTCAGAGGAGGCAAGGGGTAAGCATCAAGTAGCACACCAGAATGGCTCCTTCAGAGCAACTACAGAAGGGAAAGTTGGAATCTGAGGCAGAGACACAGACCAGAAACAGAAGCAGCCTTCTAAGCATGGCAGTTGTGCCAGCACTTCAGCATCCATATCAAGAAGTACTCAACGCTATCACAGAAGCGCCGTATGAGAATATAAGCTCAAACTGCCTTTCAGGAGTCCCACAGCCCCTTATAGTTTATTCCCTAGTACTAATTCCAACCCACATGAGCTGGGAAGTTCTAGGAGAACCTTACTCCACACAGTAGTTAAGACACCATCCTTCCAACTGCCCAAAGGAAATAATGCCAACTCTAGCTCTATTTAAAAAAAACTGCCACTAACGAGAAATCACTAGCGTGGCTTAAACACTAGAGAAGAACTGGCCTCTTTTTAGATCCAGCAGAGATAAGGTCTTGATGTCCTGTCCCTCTCCCTTACAAAACACATGCAGTAGTGGAATTGCTGTGTGCATTCCAGCCAGATATTATCAACTTGTTCCTTTTGGTTTTGTTAAGAATCACATTAAAGAACTAGGGCCCAAGCTTTATTAAATTCTCTAGATAAAGATCGCGGGCCAAGAACTCTTAAGAAAAACAGCAGAGGCAGTATTTAAATGGAAAAACATTTCTTCAAAATCTCTGTTTTAACTGACAGATCTTATGTCTTACATTGTGGGTGTGCTTTTTCGAGCCTGGAAGGAGTCCACAATGCTCCTTTCCCTCTCTACACCCAATGGCACAGAAAAGCTTGAGGGCTTTGCTTCCCATT